AGCAGATTTTTTAGTGGTGCCATATCTTTTTCTGTAGCCCCCTTGCCACCTGGCAGAGCATGACACATATCAGCAGGCACTTAACAATATTTAGTAAGTGAAGATTAGATCTCTACAAAACCTAGGCCTCTGCTTATGCTAGACCTAAAAACCAGAGGTAACACACTGCATCTTGAAGAAAACACACCACATACGCAGAGAAAAGAATGCCATGGAATATGCTGCCACACAGACAAAATGGAACAAAAGTTCTGATTAACCTCCGTCACTCTCTTTAATAAAACCAACACCATACAATGTACTGACATAGCTGTTTTGACTAGTTGGAACAGTGCAAACATCTTGGTAGGAAAAATCAACAGGTGTCTGTTTAGCACTGATAAAACAGCTAGCACAAATATGGGAAAAAGACCTATCAAATTTAAATGCCAAATGTGTTGGCAACTGATCTAGGTTCACATACTAAATCCACATTAGTCTTCCAGAACAGGTGATCTATGCTGTTTCAATGATAATTTGGTATCTTCTAGTCACTCACTCTACCAGTAAAACATCTCTAAGCCAAGAACAGGTTGTAATGTACCTGCCCAGACAGGCTATGACTTTTACACTAAGTCTCCTGTCAGATTCATTATTACTTTAGGATTGGGTTCAAGTCCTTAACTTGGCCTCTCCTTCCAACAATGAAGGGCCTGGAAGACTCAGGTAATTTGGATTTTGGCCAGACGCAGAGGCTCACGCCTGTAATCCCAACACTTTGGGAGGATGACGTGGGCAGATTGCTTGAGCCCAGGAGTTCATGACCAGCCTGGGCAACATGGCAAAACCTGGCTCTACGAAAAATACAAAAATTAGCCAGAGCTGGGCACGGTGGCTCACACCTGTAATCTCAGAACTTTGGGAGGCTGAGTAGGGGGCGGATCACTTGAGGTCAAGAGTTTAAGACCAGCCTGGCCAACATGGCAAAACCCCCTTCTCTAGTAAAAATACAAAAATTAGCTGGGCATGGTGGCATGTGCCTGTCATCCCAGCTACTTAGGAGGCTGAGGCAGGAGAATTGTCTAAACCTGGGAGGCAGAGGCTGCAGTGAGCCAAGACCATGCCACTGCACTCCAGCCAGGGCAACAGATGGAGACCCTGTCTCAAAAAAAAATAAATAAATAAAGTGATTTTTTTTTTCTCCTGTGCCCAGGTTCTAGACACACACACACACACACACCCCGATCAAAGCTTTTTTTCCCCCCACAGGTTTGCGCCACCACGCTCAGCTAATTTTTTTGTGTGTTTTTAGTAGACACAGAGTTTCACCATGTTGGCCAGGCTGGTCTCGAACTCCTGACCTCAAATGATTTGCCCGTCTCAGCCTCCCAAAGTGCTGGGATTACAGGTATGAGCCACCACACTCAGCCAGATCAAAGCTTTTCAATTTCAGTTTCAAAAACTAAAGCAAGGAGAGAAAACAAAAATGATAGCTACTATCATTGTAACTATCATTATTGTAATAGCTAATATTATTGTGTACCTCCTAACCAATTATTATGTATTATCTCATTTAATCCTCATAACAGCCCCATGGGGCAGATACTCTGTCCCTATTTTAGAGATGAGGAGACCGATGCACTGAGAAGTTAATTAAATCCCATAAGATCACATAGCTAGAAAGTAGAGCTGGGATTTGAACCTAGGCAGTCGGATTTCAGAGCCTGCATTTTTTTTTTTTTTTTTTTTGTGAGACGGACCCTCGCTCTGTTGCCCAGGGCTGGAGCGTAGTGAGGCAATCTCAGTTCACTGCAACCTCCGCCTCCCAGGTTCAAGAGATTCTTGGGCATCAGTCTCCTGAGTAGCTGGGACTACAGGGGCACACCACCATGCCCAGCTAACTTGTATTTTCAGTAGAGATGGGAGTTTCACCACGTTGGCCAGGCTGGTCTTGAACTTCTGGCCTCAAGTGATCTACCCTCCTTAGCCTTCCAAAATTCTGGGATTACAGACCACCACACCCGTCAAAGCCTGCATTCTTAACAACAATGGTACAGATTGCCTCTTATCTTCTAGGCATCAACACAATGACCATTTGATGTGCTAAGTACACAGGGCTCATGTGAATAACTCAGAGAACTTAAAAAGATGTTTAGTTCCACCAAGTTACCACATGACCCAGCAATTCCACTCCTATTTATCAGCAGAAGAATAGAAAATATATATCCAAACAAAAACCTGTGCATAAATGTTCATAAAAGCATTATTCACAATAGCCCAAAAGTGAAAACAATTCAAATGTCCATCAACCGATGAATGAACAAAATGTGATATATCTACACCATAGAACACTAATCAGCTATAAAATAAAATGAAGTACTGATACATACTACAGCGTGGACAAGCCTGAAATCACTGTGCTTAATAAAAGAAGCCACTCACAAAAGGCCTCATATCATATTACTCCATATATATAAAATGTCCAAAAGAGGTAAATCCACAGAAACAGAAAGTACATTAGTAGTTACCAGGGTCTGGAGTGGGGTGGATGGGGAGTGACTGTAAACAGGTATGTAGTTTCTTTTCGGGATGATGAAAATGTTTTGAAATTAGTGGCGATAGTTGCACAAAACCATCTGTACTATAAATGAATATACTAAATACCACTGAAATGTACACTTTAAAAGAATGAATTTCATGGTATATTAATATCTCAATAAAGCTGTTATTTTTAAAAAGAATGTTTCATTCATTTGTAACTTGTTATTTTATGTAATAAAATTTTTATTTGTTGTCACTAAGGTTGTTGGATCATGATCAGACAGAAAGAATCTTGTCATCGCTTTGATTTTTCACCTTTCAATTTGCAATGAAGAGTAAAGCAGTTTCATTTCCAAGTTGCCATGCGTCTAGTAGAGTCATTTGTGTCATTTCCCCACCCAGGAGAAAGTTTTTCTTCCCTAAGACCGAAAGAGTACAGATGCAAAAGTTCTATTCTTGAGAAAATGCTCTAATATTTTCTTTAAATCAAAGTACCTTTCTATCTAAAAGAACCTTAGTTTTCTCCCACGACCAGAGGCTTGTGGGCTTTACTGCTAAAAGTACACAGCTGAAAAATATTTCTCTTTACCAAGTAAGGTACTAAAAATTATTATGAATTGTGACAATATTTGAATATCTTAAAACAAACAAGGAAGACAATGAGCTGGGGTAAGGATCTGAGTAACATTCTTTTAAATGTTTACTTGCTCTAATAATGACAGTAATATTAATAACTACTGTCTTCTGAGCAACTATAATGTGCTAAATAAACACTGTCCTAGGTTCTTTACAAATAGGGTATTTCACTTAGTCCCCACAGTAACTCTGAGGAAGGTATTTTTATTTCTCATTTCATAGATAAGGAAACTGAGGCCTAGATAGATTATTTGTCTTGGTCACACACACAGGAGAGCCCAAATAGTAACCCAAGTCTTTCTGAACTCAAAAGTTCTCTATTTCTCTATATTCTTCGAAATGAAAAGGGAATCCAGAAGCCTGAAGAAACTGAAAAGACTTCTCTTCCTATCTCAGAAAAGTAGTGCTTTAAAAAAGTTGACTGTTCTTATAGTCAAATACAGGAAATACAGGAAAAAAAGATTGTTAATAGCAACCACCAGTCAGAAGGCACAGAAGCCCATGCCATGTCCCATATCTCTTGCACTGCTTCCTGATACAACTGTCTTCCTATTGATTCTGATTATAATCTTAGGATGTCAAAATTTAATGATCTCACTATGGAAAACCCCGGAGAATAGCAGTTAGCACAACTAGAGAGCTCACTAAACCAGGAAGGAAAAGGAATCAGTTGGCAGGAAGTGGTGCTTACCTAAAAACACAGAACATCTTTAACAGTTATATCAACACCGCAAGTCCGCAGCACTTTAATCTGAAGTTATCTTTCTATTATTTAATAAGTATTACTAAAAGCTGATTTCCACCTATTTTCCATATGTCTACTAGGATCCTTAATAAAACAAGACTCTTGGTGGGGCATGGTGGCTAACGCCCACAATCCCAACACTTTGGGAGGCCAAGGCAAGAGGATCACTTGAGGCGAGGAGTTACAGACCAGCCCAAACATAGTGAGACCTTATTTCTATTTCATTGGGGGGGGGGGAGAAAAAGTAAGGCTCTAACTTAGCCACTATTGACCCTCATCTCCCTCTTCCTTAAAAAAAAAAAAAAAAGTCACGAGTTCAAAAGATCATCCCAGAAAGAAAAAAACTGAATCCATTAGAAAAGGTAGCACGTGGGGCACAACCAAACATGAATTTCATCACCAAGTAGACTGTGGCTGGCAGAAATCTTAGATTCACGACTGAAATACACACTCTTCCTTATACTTCTCAGGACTTTGCCCAAAATAAACTGAAACAGTAAACCAACAGTAGACTGATGAATGGATAATTTGCCAAAAGTCTCAACATACACCACAAAGAGGGTGGGAGTAGTCTTAGGAGGTCTGCTCTCCAGCTAAACAACTGAAGAATGAAAGAATTTAGTGCATTTGCACAAGAAGTGCATTACCATACAGGGGAGGAAGAAGTCACTTGGGGTTGGACAAATCCTTAGAAAATGCCAAAGGAATAACCTGATTCTGTGGTCGCCTTGTAATAATTTCCAGTGGGAAAGGCCAACTCAAGATAAAGTAAGGTCGGAGTTGAGAATTGTCCTCACTTTTCCTGCCTAACCCTCTCGGCAGGCGACCCCAAACTCCCACAAGAACCCTTCGGGTAAGTGCCGAGCTGGGGGAGCAAGCCACCCTCGAGCGACCAACCACCTGTGCGTGGTGGAGACCCCTGAGAGGGAGTCCTAATTAGAGTGGGAAGCAGCTCTGGGGAGGAACCCCCGAGACCAGGGCCGACACTGACTACTCACCCAACTCCACTCCCCTTTACGCCCAATCTTCGGCCACCTTCTCGCTGAGGTCACCCCTCCAGAAACCTCCGCCCCCAGACCCCGGTCTACACCCACATCCAGCCGTCCCCAAAGCTCGCTGTTCGCTCCTCTGCCTGACAGCTGCCCTGCCGCCACCAGGCAGCCCCAGCTTCCCCAAACCAGTCTTCCGGCCTCGGTGGCGCCCCAGGGCCGCGGGATTTAGGGATTAGGATCTGGAAGGGTTTGGTCCAATCCCCTCTCCCTCTCAGCGTCCTGGGCTCACCTCCCCGGCAGCTTAGCGCTTCTCTTCCAAAACTGCTTGCTGTTCTCAGCGGCCATTGCTCTGGCAGGGGGAAGGCCTTGTAGGCGGGCCAAGGGGTTGCCTGGCGAGATGCCCCCAGACCCCGCAATCTGAGGGCCAACCCAGGCCGCTTCCCCGCCGCCGGTCACCCGCTCCCAGCTCCTGGGGACGCCATCTTGGATGTGGGCACCCCTCCACCCAGCACCGCTGCCATTGGTGGGCTTCGCAAGCCGTGGACGGGCCGACCAATCGGGAGCCGGAATCCTGCAGGCCGCTGAAGCCAACGGGTAACGTCAGAGTCTGGGCACACAGGTGGACGGGGAAGGCGGAGCTTGGACGAACAGAGAGGCGGGGCTCAAAGTTCCTAACCCGCAAGAGGGAAGAAGCAGGTGAAGTAAGGGACCTATGGGAAGGAAGAGAGGGGATTATCTTCTTCGTGAGGAATGAAGTTCCTGAGTCTAATATTTTTTGGCAAGAGAGAGCATACTATGTATTTATATATAGAAATCTTTGACCTAAAAGTAAAGGCCCATGTGTTTGTTGTGGCCCATTTTTATCATCTCTCAACTCAATGACACTCTGGTTATTACCCTCCCTTCCTCGTTCCGTTTAGATGTCCATTCATTTTTCTGAAGGTCAGCAGGGACCCGATAGCCCGGGATTGCTAACTGCTCAACACGTGAGCAACGGTTCATCAGAGTCTCCCTCTCCCTCTGTTATTGAAAACGATTGAAGGACTTGTGCTGTGGGTGAAAAATTCAAATGATCTAATCCCTATGTCAATCCATAACTCTCACTTTCTGACTATACTAACGGTGTATAGGAAATGGTTTATCATAGCTGTCCAACTCAGATTACCAAATACGATTTCTTTGAAGGACACAGTATAGCTCCATCCTGTGAATCACAAAGTTAAGGATGTATCTCCTCCCGGCCCCACCAACATCCTTAATTTCCCTTGTTAATCTGTTATAAATCTTGCACCCTTGAATTTATTTTCAATCTAATTTTCCCAGACAATGAGATTTAATATTAGCATTTTGAATCCTTTGAATGTCTTGTCGGTGTTTTTTGCTGTTTTTGAATTTCTGTGGTTGTATTCCGTGGTGATTTGGGGAGAGAGGGAAAGCGGGCACCAGTCCAGAGTGGTTTTTGTCCCATCGAAGGACTGTTGAGGTGGGCTGCGTGTCCCCCACTCCCCCCCTACCCTCCATTTACAGCTACCACATGTACTTCCACGTATTGGAGAATACATAAAGACCCGACCCCCGACGGGTATGTCCTCCAACGACGGTTTCTACATTACTCCCATTTTCAAGCTTCTTTTGTCCCCTAATTTTAGAATTATAGGATTGGATGACGAGGGCTATTTTTACTTCTTCTGAATCTTTCATGCTTTTATACACTTTCATCTTATTTTCTTCATGGGCATTTAACCCAGGAAAAAAAGAAAGAAAAAGTCCCTGTATTCTTTTAATCATTTTACCTGCCATTCTCTGGCACTTCTTTTTCTTAGGATGCAGTGACCAGCACTGCACACTAAGCCCAAAGAGGGATGTACTGAGGCTTTGTTAAGGTTGATGTTTTGTCTTTATTCTGAACAGCCAGAACTTTTGCTGGCTGTTTGGGCTTTAGAAGAGTTGATGTCTTGAAGGAGTAATCTAAAACAACTTCTAGATTCCTTACCTGGGTGGCAACCAGCAGTTCAGAGTTCACTGTCTTAAAGGTATCCTCTGGATTGTCTTCCCCTATGTGAGCTGCCATACACTCATCCATGCGACAAGATACCTGCCACTTTCCAGCTTACACACATGGTTTTAGAGATGTTCCAGAAACTGTTCCCTATTGATTTTACATTTTACTATGTAGAAAGCAAAGTATAATTTGTGTACCTAGAAATATCTCAAAATATTCCTTTTTCTTAATATTTTATGAAATGTTAAATAACACTGATTCCCAGGGGATGTTGTTAACAGTGCTCAACCCAGAGAAGCCCTATTATCTCTACACTTTGTTTTCTATATCAGTTTCCCCTCCAAGAGTTTTTAAAAATTCACACCAGTTACCTGGTGATGACTTTTTAAATAGTATTTGGTAGGGAAATTGAGATCGTTGGAATCTTTTTCACCACTACCAGTTGGTCACCCTAATCTTCACCAACCACACACCCGCTTACAGCAGCCTGCTATTCAGCTCCCTGCTTCCACTCTTACCCCGTTACAGTACATTCCCCATATAGCAGCCAGAGAGACCTTTTTTTTTTCGAGACCAGGTCTTGCCCTGTCACGCAAGCTGGAGTCCAGTGACATGATCTCAGCACACTACAACCTCCACCTCCCAGGCTCAACCAATCCTCCCACATCAGCCTCCTGAGTAACTGGGACTACAGGCACATACCACCATGGCCAGCAAATTTTTTGTATTTTTGTAAAGATTGAGGTTTCACCATGTTGCCCAGGCTGGTCTCGTACCCCTGAACTCAAACAATCCATCAGCTTTGGCCTCCCAGAGTGCTAGTATTACAGGTGGGAGTCATCACACCCAGCCCAGAGACACTCTGTTAAAATGTAGACCATATCATGTCACTCCTCTGCTCAAAACCTTGCAATGGCCCCCACTGTACTTGGCATAAAATCCAAGCTCCTTAAAGACCCTACATGACTTGGCTCCACTCACCTCTCCAGCCTCATCTCATTACACTTTCTGTCTTGCTTAATCTGCTCCAACCATGCCCATTGGTCTTATTGCTGTTCCTTGAACACTCTAGACATGTTCCTACTTCAAGGCCTTTGCATTAGCCATTTCCTCTGCTTGGACTTCTCTTCCCCTAAATGCCTTGCTTCCTCATTTCATGCAGGTATATATCCAACTGTCTTTACCTTGTAGAGACCCTCCCTAACCACCCATCTTAAATACTGGCTACACTGCTCTATTTTTCTTTTTCTTTCTTTCTTTAGTTTTTTGACACAAGGTCTCACTCTGTTGCCCAGGAGTGCAGTGGCATGACCACAGCTCACTGAAGCCTTGACCTCCTGAGCTCAAGCAGTCCTCCTATGTCAGCCTCCCAAGTAGCTGGGACCACAGTGCATGCTACCACACCCAGCTAATCTTTTTATTATTTGTAGAGACAGTCTCCCTATATTGCCCAGGCTGGTCCCAAACTCCTGGGTTCAAATGATCCTTCCTCTTCAGTCTCCCAAAATGCTGGGATTACAGGCATGGGCCACTGTGCCTGGCTCTATTTTTCTTTGAAGCGCTATCACTACAGGCCATATTATGTACTTGTTTGCTGTCCATCTCCATGCGCTAGAATAGAGGCCCCCTGTCTGTGTCCTGTTAGGAACCAGGCCACATAGCAGGAGGTGAGCGGCGGGTGGCATGCAATCATTACCGCCAGAGCTCCGCCTCCTGTCAGATCAGCAGCAGCATCAGGTTCTCATAGGAGTGTGAACCCTATTGTGAACTGCTCATACAAGGGATCTAGGTTGCACATTCCTTATGAGAATCTAATGCCTTGTGATTTGAAGTGGAAACATTTCATCCTGAAACCCCACTCCCGCAAAATTTTCGTGGAAAAGTTGGCTTCCATGAAACTGGTCCCGGATGCCAAAAAGCTTGGGGACTGCTGCCCTAGAATGTGAGCCCCACTAAGACTGGGACTCTGTTTTGTTTCCTGCTGTATCCCCAGCACCTAGAATAGTGTTTGGCACATAGCGAGTGCTTAGTAAACGTTTACTGAGTGAAAGAAGGAAGAATATAAATATTTCTTGTCTTTGAATTCTATGTTGTTCACATATTTTTTTGTTAGGAAAGATGATAGAAACAGTGTTTCCTAACCCCTAGTAGGATATGTCCACTTCACCAATGATTCTATATCCTTGCCTACACTCTTGGTTGAGGAACAGTCTTCTCTGAGAAAGATTGTATTCTTCAAACTCTTTTGCAGCTTTAAAGGAATGTGCCTGTACCTGGAATGATGAGGGAGGGAGCCACCCACCTAGTCAGGAGATCAGTTGGTAGCTGTCATCAAAGGGCTGATAGCTATGACAGCCACTCTTGTCCAGCAAGAGGTGTAAACCAGGTGTAAACCATTGGTTTGAAGTTCCCGAGAGGTCCTTAGAGGCCTTCTGATGGAGATCCTTCTTGGCAGACATTCACTGGTCCACTAGACCAGTGCTTCCTATACTATATTGCACATGTGAATCACTGAGGATTATATTAAAAACCTAGATTCTGATTCAGCAGGTCTGAGGTGAAGCCTACAACTCAGAATTTCTTTTTTTTTTTTTTTTTTTTTTGAGACGGAGTCTGGCTCTGTCACCCAGGCTGGAGTGCAGTGGCCTGATCTCAGCTCACTGCAAGCTCCGCCTCCCAGGTTTACACCATTCTCCTGCCTCAGCCTCCCGAGTAGCTGGGACTGCGCGCACCCGCCACCACTCCCGGCTAGTTTTTTGTATTTTTTAGTAGAGACGGGGTTTCACCATGTTAGCCAGGATGGTCTCGATCTCCTGACCTAGTGATCCGCCCGTCTCG